GAAAGAAAATATGAAACTAAAAATGTCTGTACTTAAAATTTTCTTATTAAAAATAGACATAAAGATACAAAATAATTGGTTTTGCATTATAAAGTGTTACAAAATGGGAACATTTCTTCCGCCATCTTCCTTAAGTATCAACATCTGATGCAAAGAATTCCAAATTTAGAAAACCACCAGCTGTCCACATGAAGGAAGGGGGTAAGCCCAGAGTGTGCTCACCCCTCCTCTGCCCTCCCCGAGCCCACAGAGAGAGGGGCGCAGTCCGGCCCCACGCGGAAGTACGGCTTGAGCTCTTCAGCAAAGGACTCGGTGAACAAGTGCAGGTGAGACCTGTCGGCGGCGTTGTAGAAGGAAAGCTGGCCCAGCTCCCAATCCAGGTAAACGCCGATGGCCGTGGGTTGGTCCCTGAGAGCCAGAGGCACCGCCCCCGCACTCACGGCCAGGTAGTCGCTATCCTGCAGCTGCAGTGTCCAGCATCTCTTGGGACCCGCCAGGGGACGCGAGGTCTGGGCCGAAGGCGCGACGCTGCACACGCCCACGGCCCACTCGGGATTGGCGCCCACCTGCACCTCCCAGTAGTGGCGGCCAGAAGCGAAGCCCTCCCGGCCCAGGACCACCAGCTGGCCGGTGTCATCACAGGATTTGGTGCCCCCATCCCCTTTGTACCTCTTCCTCACGCAGGTCACCGACTGGAGGTCCTGGGACACTCGCAGGCTGGGGTGGGCCGTGTCGGGGTCCAGGCTGATGCTCTCTCGGAATCTCCGGATGATGCTGTTGAGCGCCGAGTGCAGAGGAGGGAGGCTGTAGGCCACGGGCCTAAAGCGCAGGGGCTGCACGGCCGGGAGCTGCAGGCCCGCACAGCGCTGCTGCAGGCCCCTCACGCCCCTCAGCACCATCTCCTCGGACATCACGCTCTGCTCCGCCACATCCCGTCTGAGGTCTTCCAGCTCCCAGATGTGGTCCGAGTAGGCCTCCAGGTTGTCCCTGAGCTGCTGCTGCAGGCGTTTGTCCTCTTCTGTCAGCCTGCAGAGCGCGGCCTCCTGCTCACGCTCCACAAACTGGGTGAGCTGCTCAAATTCCGAGGCCAGCTGACTCCTGTGCTTTTCCCCGTCCGCTCTCAGCTCCAGGAGGTTTCTGTCTTGGGCGACATCTCGCTTCTGCACCTCTGCCAGCTGCTTCTTCAGGGACTCGATGCAGTCGCTGAGCCTCTGTCTGTGATGAGCCGCTGCCTCAGCCACGGACCTGATGTGGTGGCCCTGGTGGGCAGGGCCCTGGGCACACAGAGGACACACCAGCTCCTGGTCATCCTCGCAGAAGAGGCTCACTCCCTGCCTGTGCTCCTCACAACTGCCCTCCTCTGCCGGTGCCATCTCGCTGCTCCCAGAGCTGTGCAGTAGCATCGCCAGGTCCACCAGCCTGCCCAGCTGGGCGTTGGCACTGACGCGCATCTCCTGGCGGGACTGCCGGCACACGGGACAAGGGAATGTGTCCTTCAGGTCCTTCCATGACATGCGGATGCAGGAGTCACAGAAGCTGTGGCCGCAGTCGATGGTGACGGGGTCATTGATGTATTCCAGGCAGATGCGACAGATGAGGTCTGGCTGCATTTGGGCCAGGGCTGCTGACACCTCCTCCATCCTCGGATGTGGGAAGGGCAGGTCGGGAGTGATTTTCCTCAGACAGTTGAAACCCTCAGGCTCTCTCCTGCCAGGAAAACAGTTACACACTCAGTCATTTGTTCTGATCTCCTCTATGGATGTGTCTCTCTGATGACCAGCACACTTCTAGACTCAAGGGCTTCTCCAAGTGTACTCTCCTAAGACCAATCGAACTGCTGGAGCCTAATGCATTAGGGTTCCCTTTTCAAATAATATTGCTTCATAGATGCCAACTCTCTGTGAATGGGAAAATGACCCCATTCACATCAGAGAAAAGGGAACTTAATTCTGGGACTCAGTAAAAAAAAAAAATAGATACCAGATAGTCAAATAGGTGCCCCCTAGAACCTGCACCAAGTGCGCACGAAGGATGCTGTGAAGTTAATTAAGCTCTGGCCCAGCAAGAAGCACATCCCCCCACCCACTGTTTCATCTCTCTGCCCCACCTCTGCCCCACATAAGGCAACAATTGTGATGATCACTACTCACCTTGGTCCTGATACTAGCCCTGCACAGTGCTCGGTGCTGTTGGTGAGCTGCTCTCCTTGCAGGATACAGACTTCAGGCTGGCACTGCTTGCCCTGCACTCAGCACAGCATTTATATACATCCTAGGGTAGGGCTCAGGAGAACCACCCTGCAATAGGGTGGGGCTCAACTCACGGGATTCTCAGAGGGCTGAGTTATTTCCCAGACCTGTATTTTGTCACAAGGAATGCCATGTTCAGGGAACTAGCTTTCAAGGGAAGCAAGCCCTTCTTCAATTGTCTTCATTTTCCACATCCCATCCTTGTTGAGGAAAAGTAGAAATGATAAATAAACTAGAAACTGAGCGCTGTTGGCATCAGAGAGATAGTGGAGGCTGTAAGGTGTTTGCCAGGTGTGATCCTTGAGCCCAGAGGCAGGCAAGTACCCCCAAGCACTGTAGGGTGTGTGCTCCCACCATAAAACAAATAAACAAAGAGGCAAATAAACAAATACTGAAGTGCCAGACTGCACAGCAGGCTTGTTTGTTTTGCTTAGTTTGGGGTCACAAAGAGCTGGGATCAGACTTACCTTGGGCTCTATGCTCAGGGGTTACTCCTGGCAGGGTTTGAAGTACCTACCAATTGTTTTCCAGCAGAGTAAACTGGATCAGCTGTGGGGAAGACAGGAACCTTAGTCTCTATTATATTGCTGACCTCAGAATTTTTATTTAATTTTGTTTTGTCCTGAAATTCAATGTGTTAAACATCATCCCAGAGACTTTTGTGCTGTTTTTTTTTTTCTGCCACATCTAGCAATGCTCATTGCTTATTCTTCATTTATCAGTCCTCGTGGACTTGGGGAACTCTTTGAGGTCCCAAGATTCAATCTGGGTAGGTCACATGCATGACAAGTATTATCAGTCCTTCCTAGTGATTTTTTTTATTTTTTCCAGTAAGTCACCAATATTTTACAGTCATAATGCTTTGCATTTCTTCTGGATCAATAATTTTTTAACACTCATTTACGTAAAAAAGTTTTCCCTCATGAAGATCTTTGTAAATCACAGTGTTTATCTAAAATATAAGAGGAAATTTGGAAAAACTAAGGAAATAAATTTAAATAAATAGATTCTTGAAAGAGGGAAAAAATGAGTTGTCTGATACATGAGTAACTTGTTGAATTACTGCTAATAAACAATGCAAATATTTTTAACAATTTCCTTGGTAATCTGCAATTCTAATTAGCATTCACAATTAATAAAAATAAAAAATATCTGTTGAATAACTGCTAATAAACAATGCAAATATTTTCAACAATTTCCTTGGTAATCTGCAATTCTAATTAGCATTCCCAATTAATAAAAATAAAAAAAAATATCGCGTGCTAGTGTAGCCCAATGGCATCTGCTCGCTCCAGGAATATGAAGAGCCTCAAACCGATTTGACCATCTCATAGGTGAGTGGCCACTCCATCTTTTGAAGTCCTGTGGAATCCATTTGGTAACGGCTCTAGTCCAGCGGTCCCATGCATGGTACCATGTCCATTATCCCTGGCCTTTCAAGGGTGATCTTTGGTCTCAGATATCAGGTTCGGCTTTCCAGAGATTTTATTTAGACTTGCAGCATTCCATGGGCACATAGAGCTTTTTGGTTATCACAAAATTGATGATTATTTGGTTTCTCTTCAGCTTCTTCTGACATTTTGACATTTCTATTAAAAGGCAGTTTACACAAAGTATTTCACAATGCCTTTTCAGCAGTTCTGATTGTGCGGGGGGAGGAATTCTAAACAATATGGTGCATCTTTTGTCGAAATAATGAATGTAATCAATGTAGAGAAGAATTAAGTAGAAATCATCTGCCTTACAGGCATTGGGAGGGGGTATATTGGGCTTCTTGGTGGTGAAAAGTGAGTACTGGTGAAGGGAAAGGTGTTTGATCATTGTATTACTTAGACTTAAACCTGAAAGCTTTGTAACTTTTCCCACAGTGATTCAATAAATAAATATAAGAAGAAAAATAAATAAAATTATGGGAAAAAATAAAAATAACTTCTCCCTATAGGAAATAATATTACAACTAGGGAAATAACAAATTATAAATGTGTAGTCACTAAAAGATAATCATCCAATATTCAAATAAATATACTTTGTGTTTTATATCCAACCTTTAGTTAAGCTGTGTGCATTATTTTTCCAAAATAATTTTACTGTGCATTCAATTCTGTTTGGTTTCCATATCAGGCAAGAAATTAAAAAGAATCATACTTTCCTAAAAAAAAGGCAGTTTACATAGAAAATGTTCAGGAAACAAAACAAAGTTCTTTTGAAATTCCACAGAGGGTAGGGCGTTCGCCTTACAAGCGGCCAACATGGCCGACCCGAGTTCGATTCCTCCGCCCCTCTCGGAGAGCCCGGCAAGCTACCGAGAGTATTCGATATGCCAAACACAGTAACAACAAAGTCTCCAATGGAGACGTTACTGGGCCCGCTCGAGCAAATCGACGATCAACGGGAGGGCCTTTACCTTTACCTTTACAAGTTATTTCCTAAAGTAATTTTCAGGCTTCACAAATGTGCTCTTAGCGTCTATAATTTTCCTACTAGTTTCCTTTCTTAGAAATTCTTGAGTTTAGTATGTTACAAGCTCCGTGCTTTTCTCACATTGAAAAGAAAGTTCTTATTTTTTCTTGTTTTTCCTTTTTGTTACAACATGAAGAAAAAAGATATACAAGATGAACATAAATTCATTTTCACATTCAAAATAGAACTGAAGATGTCCTAGGGACTAAGGCCAGGTTCACAAAGGAAGGGTTAATGCTGTCCTGGGGAATGTTCTGGAGACTGTGCATGGACCACAGAAAAGTAAGCACTTTAGGCTTCAACCACTGCTGAGGGGGTGGGGAACAGGAATGGGTACGGGAGTTCTTCTGATTTCTGCAATTACGAGGACAGAGAAGCCTATAGGATGTCAGAAAAAGTTACAACAATATTAAAAGAAAAACCCTCAGAATTTAAAGGGGTGGGTAGAGCAGTCAGGTAAGCAGGAAATTTGACGGGCAGTATGACTAATGAGGTGGGAATAATGATGAAGAGCTTCTAGCAAGGAAATTGGATGTTGAACACAATCACAGAAATGCAAAAGGGTAGGTCAAGGCTAGTTCTGCTGATATTCAGGTTATGTCTTAGTTGTAAATGGCCAGTGAGAACTCTTAAGGAAATTTCAGTCAAAATATTCTGTACTTGATTTGGCATTTTTATCTGTTTTTAGAAGATTCATATTACATTAGATTTGTTTTGTGTTTGTCCTGCGTGTTAGATATCCAGGTTGAAATATCCATTCTAAATATAAGAGTTCTCTGTTGAGTGCATTGAATTAAACTTTCAACATTTATAAAATGCCTATGAAGTACAAAATGTTCAGGAGAGTTTTCTAGATTCCTCATGGATCAAGCTTAAAGTGAAACAATTCTAAAGATAGGGAGATTATTTTCTTGTTATCATAATGAAATATATGTATGTACATATATATATATATATCCCTGCGCTATCGTTAGAGTGGATGGGTAGGATGGTGACAAGTAATTTTCAAATACTTGCAGACCTACACACAAGACAGTGTTTTGAAAGCCCCGTTTTTTCTGCCTGCAAGGAATATTACTCTGAAGCTCACAAACACATAAAGCTCAAGTGCTCACACTGTTATATTATAACTAGGAAAGCAGACTCTGGGGCTTTCTAAGAGATAGTACAGAGGGTGAGACACTCCACCTAGCTAACCTGGTCAATCCCTGGCTCCACACATAGCAACACCAGTGGAATCCTTAAGCCTAGAATCATTAGTAATCCCAGACCATCACCAGATGGGGCCCCTGCTGCAACCGGCGCTGTGGGGCCGAGCCAGGGGAGGGCTGTCAGGGTGAAATCAGCACTCGAGTCACACAGGGTTCCGTCATTCAGGAGATGGCATGAATGCGTGCGTGCGTTTATTCAGAATACAGGTACATTCAGTATGTTTCCACAGCCCACCCAAAAGAAAGGAAAGTGGATGGGACGTGGGAAAGTGGATGGGACAATGAACAGAGCCATGCACCAGTTGGTCAGCCACCTGGTGACCCTTTCGACATAATGCTATTGGTCAGAACGACCTGCTTTGATATAGGTTTGTCATATCTGCAAAGATTGTGCTGTTCCTCATACATCATTTACAAATCATTTACAAGGGTGCATTTTCCCCAAACTGAAACCTCCTGTACTGGGAAGTTGCCCAGCTTTGAGCAGGACAAAGGGGGAATGAAAAATCAAGCATTCTTTTACTTGGTCAGTAGGCAACATCTCACCCCTTTTTTCCAATTATGGCATGCCAGGACCCCTGTCTTAGGTCGTCCGTCGCCCCGCCATGGTACCCGTCCTTTGGGAGAATGCCTTAGCCCCTGTCTTGGGTGTGCGCGACGGTGACGGAAGTTGCCCGTCATTGGGTATCCTGGGCAAGGACATATTTCCTTAACCGTGAGGAGGCACAGGGGAAGGTTCGTGACATTTCTACCAGACCATGCAGGACCCAGTGTGGCTTGACCAGAATGGAGCGTGGCTCAGAAAAGAGGGGCAGGGGTAGGGTAGAGGGGTGATGGGGATCTCTTCGTTCAGTGATCCGGGGTTTCTGTATGGGTCCGGTCCGCACTCCTTCTTCTCCTGCATTTTCCGGTACCAGTCACGGGATCAGGTCACTGCAACAGATAAAGAAAGAGGCTTCCCAGGCCCATTAGAAATACCTCTCTGAATAGGACTGCTCTTTGCTAGTTTCTCTCAGCTGCATAAAGTAATTTGAGTGATCTGCCGATCACGCTGCCAATCTGGTCTCTGACAAATCAGACAAGTCGACTCAGGATGCAGGGCCCAAATGTAAGCATCAGTAATAGTATGATCAGAGGGCCTGCTATAGTAGATATCAGGGTGGTGAACCAGGGGGATTGATTGAACCAAGACTCGAACCACCCTTCCTGAGCCTCTCTCTCCTTTTTACGCCGTTCCAGGCCTTCTCTCAGCTTAGCCATGGAATCTCGGACTACCCCCATGTGGTCGGCGTAAAAGCAGCACTCTTCTCCCAGCGCTGCGCACAGCCCTCCGTTTTTAAGGAAGAGCAAGTCGAGCCCCCTCCTATTTTGCAAGACTACCTCGGACAGGGAGGTCAAGGACTTTTCAAGATGGCTAATAGATTTTTCTATACGGTCCAGGTCCTCATCAATAGCTGCTCTTAGAGAAGATAGGCCAGAATGTTGGGTTGCCAGAGCAGCGATGCCAGTGCCGGCACCTGCCAGGCCTATGCCAAACAGAGTGGTGATGGTTAGTGCGGATATGGGTTCCCTGCAGTTCCTACGCAGGACATCAGGGGAATTGGACCAGTAGTCAAGGAGTACCTCAGCAGGGTGTTATATAATTTTTGGGATAACAATAACCATAAGACAAAATTCTTGGGAGGCATTAAATACTGAGCCTGCCAAGTGGGGAGTTAATCCTGAATGTGAACAGGCCCACCAAGCTCCAATTGTTGGTGAGATCCAGGCGGAGTTACTCCACCCTGGGGACTCCACATTCTGTGCACACAACTCCTTCTTGTTTTGAGGGACTGTACCTACACATGTCCTTGGCCGCTAATCTGGGTCATGGTCAGTCCCTGGGGGCGGGCCTTCCACTCCCCAGGGGCTCTGTAATTAACATTGTATGAGGCGTTAATACCCATGGCCTCATAAATCGGTGGCATGGGGCTATAGCACAGCCAGCAGGCTTCAGTCAGGTTTGGGGCAGTAACATTCAGAGTCTGATATGTGGCTTCGATAAGACTCCTGAGGGGGTTAATGATTGGGCCAAGACTGGGTTTTGGGATGGATGGGCTTAAGAGGGGGGTTTGTGTATTGACCTGACCAGGCGCTCTGGTTCCCAAATGGGTTTTTATGCATTAGTTGGATATACACAGACTGCACCTCTGACTCTGGCAAGTATCGCTGCCGGTGGTTGCCAGGTTCCTGAGGACAGATCCTTCCATTTCACCATTGCTTTAAGGGGAGCCGGAGTAGCGAAGTGACGTTGGGCTGCACTGCGGCCCGAATCATCGAGGAGCAAAAAATTTAAAATGAATAAGGTTGTGGATAGGAGTGCTTGTGGCCCTTGACAGCCTTGGTAGATCTCACCCTCTTTTGTTTTAGAAATATAAGTTTTGAGATGTCGGTGCGCTCGCTCTATGATAGCCTGTCCTTGGGGGTTATAGGGAATGCCTGTTGTATGTGCAATATCCCAGGTTTCACAAAAGAAATGAAAGGCGCGGCTTGTATAGGCCGGTCCATTGTCAGTTTTAATTTGCCTGGGATTTCCCATCTATGAGAAAGCGGTGGTAAGGTGATCTATAACATGTTTCGTTTTTTCCCCGGCATGTAGTGAGGCAAAAATCATGCCGAGTGTGTGTCTATTGAGACATGGAGATAATGCCGGTTACCCAATGAATTAGTGTGGGTCACATCCATTTGCCAAATATCATTTGCTCTCAGTCCTCTAGGATTGACTCCTAGGGATGGGGAATGTATATAAGGAGCGCAAGCGGGACAGACAGTGGTTATGGAGAGAGCTTCGGCTTTGGAACAACCCATATGAAAACGAAGAGACTGGGCATTAAGGTGGAATTTTTTATGTAGCTGTATGGCCTTATCATATTCTAGGAATGTCATTATTAAGCAGGTAGCTTTATCTGCTTGTTCATTACCTTCTGCAAGGGGTCTCGGGAGGCCAGAGTGTCCTCTAATATGACCCACAAAGAGGGGGTCCTTTCTAGCCCAAATCAACAGTTGCAATGTTTGTAATTGAGATAAAATTTTTGAGCCCTCACCTATGTGGAGTGCTGTTTCTAATTGGGGGGAAGATATTGGCAACATACACACTATCAGTGTAAATATTGAGGGGCTCATTAGGGAATGTCTGCAAGGCCAAAAATACAGCAGATACTTCTGCAAATTGCGCCGAGGTTTCAGCAAACTGTATGGCGTGAACATCCTGCCCATCAACCACTACGGCTAGACCGCTTTTAGAGCCATCGGTAAAGAGGGTCCGTGCGCCCGGAAGGGGGGTGGTCTTAATGATTCGGGGGAAGATAATAGGGTAAATCTTGAAGCTTTGCGGGAGTTTATGTTTGGGATATAATTTGGCCTTTAAAGGAGCAGACAAAAAGGCACCAGGAATCATCATATTGTATCAGATTATTAATCATTTCTTTGGAATAGGGAACGAGCAATATGTCCATATCCTTAGCAAAGAGTGCACACCCTATGGTTCTGGCCTTCCAGAGTAATTGAGAAACTAATGTGGGATAGAGAATCACCGTTCGGGTGGGGGAAGCCGAGAGGTGGACCCAATATAATGGACCAGTCTGCCAGAAAACTTCAGTTGTGGCAAACTCTGAAGGAAGCACTATAAATTGTAGTGGTAGATTGTAATCAATATGGTGTATTTGCATTTCTTCTAAGGCATCCTCTGGTTTTCTAAGAGCCAATTGTGCCTCAGGGGTCAAATGATGAGGTGAGGAGGGGTCAGAATCCCCCTTCAGTAGTTCAAAAGGAGGTTTGAGCTCTCCCGTGGGCAGGGAGAAGGATGGTCGGAGCCATTGGAGTTCTCCCAAAAACTGTTGCCTTTGTTGTAGAGTCTTTAAATGGGAGGTGGCAAACTGTATTTTTTGAGGCGCTATTCCCACCTTGTTTATGGTGTATCCTAAGTATCTGTATGGGTGAGAGAGCTGTACCTTGTCCGGGGAGATTACAAGTCCTGCTGACTCCAGGGTGACACGGACATGATCATAGAGTTGAAGTAACAGGTCTTTGGTGGGGCAGGCGGCTAAGATGTCATCCATATAATGAATCAAAAGTGCGTTGGGGAAACGAGCCCGGACTGTAGCTAAAACTGCTGCAACATATATCTGACACATAGTGGGACTATTAGTCATGCCCTGGGGAAGGACTACCCATTGGTAGTGCTGATAGGGCTCCTGAAAATTGGGGGAAGGTAGAGAGAAGGCAAATCTTTGACAATCTTTAGGAGCTAATGGAATATTGAAAATACAGTCTTTAAGATCTATCACTAACAATTGCCAGGACTTTGGTATAGCGGAGGGATGGGGGAGCCCTGGCTGCAGGGCCCCCATTGGATGCATGGTGTCATTGACTGCTCTGAGATCTTGCAATAATCCCCACCCGCCTGTCCTTTTCTTTATAACAAAGATTGGGATATTCCAGGGAGATGTGAATGGGGTAATGTGCCCCTTTTCTAATTGCTTGGACACTAGGGCATATGCGGCCTGTAATTTCTCTTTAGGTAGGGGCCACTGCTCCACCCAGATTGGATCATCTGATTTCCAGGTAATGGGGGTGGGGGGAGGATGCTCGACAGTGGCCCCGATTAAAAAGGCTTATGTTCCAGCCCAGGGTTTGTGGCCCCTTCCAGTTCTTCCACGGGCATGAGAGTTATGGGGAACCCTTGCCCCGGGGCTGGGTAATCACTAGTAATATGGGCTACAGTCTGGAAAGAAACCAGGGGGGTCTGGAGGTGGCCAGGCAGTGTGACTAGAACTGCGCCCATGGCCGAGAATATATCTCGCCCCCAAAGATTGGTGGGGAGGTCTGGAACCAGACAGTAGCTGCTTTTCTTCTGTGTCTAGATCGGGGGCAAGAGGAGTCTGGCTCCCACATTCAGAAATCACGGGGACTTCGGCATATTTTAGTTCAGCTATATCATCGCCAGCGTCCCCCTGCAGAGAGCGCCCTGTTTCCTCCTCCTGGATTTCCCGGCAGGTTTTTTGGAGGTCACACAGCTGTTCCTGCACCTGGACACGGGTGGTTGACAGCACTTTTTTAACCAATCTCCAGAGGGAGAATGTAGCACGGGAACCCTATCTGACCCCCTATCTCTGAGGGCTCTCTGTAGGTCGATCTTAACCTGTTCCCAGTCACAGATTTTGAATTCTCCCCCTATCAGGAACCAAGGGCTGACTTCCCCTATTACTGTAATGAACTCGAGTGCGGTACTAAACTTAATAGCAGTTCCCTGCTGTTTCAGTAACTCAGTCAACTCGGTGGCCAGCCGAGTTTTTGAGTCAGAATATCCCATGGTGCACCATAAACTGTTTAATCCCCCGCTTATATGCGGTTTTTCCCCTGCCTATACGCAGGCTCTCCCCCTGCCTATGCGCAGGTGAGCCCTGTCCGGTTCTCCCTCGTACCTGATCTCGGTGGAACCTCCACTTGCCGCGTCCAACGCTGCGGGGCCGAGCCAAGGGAGGGTCGTCAGGGTGAAATCAGCGCTCGAGTCACACAGGGTTCCGTCATTCAGGAGGTGGCATGAATGCGTGCGTGCGTTTATTCAGAGCACAGGTACAGACTTCAGTATGTTTCCACAGCCCACCGAAAAGAAAGAAAAGTGGGTGGGACGTGGGAAAGTGGATGGGACAATGAACAGAGCCATGCACCATTGGTCAGCCACCTGGTGACCCTTTCAACATAATGCTATTGGTGAGAACGACCTGCTTTGATATAGCTTTGACGTATCTGCAAAGATTGTGCTGTTCCTCATACATCATTTACAAATCATTAACGAGGGTGCATTTTCCCCAATCTGAAACCTCCTTACTGGGAAGTTGCCCAACTTTGAGCAGGACAAAGGGGGAATGAAAAATCAAGCATTCTTTTACTTGGTCAGTAGGCAACAAGCCCAAAAGCCAAATTAAAGGAAAAGAAGTGGAGGAAGAGGAAGAGGAGGAGGAGGAGGAGGAGGAGGAGGCAATAGAGGAGGGAGAGTAGGAGAGAAGGGGGGGATGGAGGGAAAGCAGGGCAAAGCAAAATCAATGTAGTCACTTAGCTGCCAGAGTAGTGTTTTTCACAGTAGAGACTTTGCCTTAACCTGCACTGGTGCTTCCCCCATTACTTTCACTGCTAATAAACCCAGAGCGCTTTACAATAGAGTTTGCATCACTGTGAACTAAAGCTCTGCTTACTTCAAAATAACCATAGAAGTTCCCAAACTGTCATTAATAAGGAAGAAAATGACATTTTTCACCATATAATTTTCTCAGGCATAGATATTTTTGTGAGAATTCTTCTAGACAAAAAGGCTGGTTGAGTAAAGGGTTGATCACAGTTGTTGTCCTGAGCAGCAGAATAAATGGCAGGGCTACTAATGAGATGGTGATAGGTATAGCAGAATGGATAGGACAGGAATGTATGGGAAATGAGTAGTTTCATTTTAAGGGAGGGAAATGAGCAGATGTCTCAGAGGAAGACAAGTAGATGGTCAATAGGCACGTGAAAAATTTCTCAGCATCACTTATCATTTAGGAAATACAAATCAAGAAGACAGTGAGATAGCATTTCACATCAGTGATAATGGCACATATCAGAAATAGTAGTCAAAATCTGCTGGTGGAGAGAATAGTGAGAAAAGAACTCTCCCAGGAGGTTTTATTCCATAGCTCGGAGGCCAGCCGCACACTCTAGGGGTAAACGCAGCTCAGATAGAGAAGGCAGCACTAAATAAAGGGTGTTGGGAAGATCCACCCAGGATGGGAGATGCATGCTGAAAGTAGATGATAGACCGAACATTATTGCCACTCAATTCCTCTTTTGCAAACCACAGCACCCAAAAGGAGAGAGAGAACAAAATAACCACAGAGGCAGGGTGGGATGGGGGGATGGGGGTGGGTGGGAGGGATACTGGGATTAGTGGTGGTGGAGAATGGGCACTGGTGGAGGAATGGGTACTCGATCATTGTATAACTGAAACCCAAGCACAAAAATTTATAAGTCTCAACTGTACCTCATGGTGTTTCACTAATAAAAATTTTTAAAAAAGGAAAAATAACTCATTCACTGCTGGTAGGAATGTCTGGCTCAACCCAGAGAGGCCCAGCGACCAGACTGTGCACTGTAGAGCCAAAACTTCAAGCACAAGACACCAGCCATCACAAAACATGACACGGAAACAGCACAGTCGCACGTCAAGGAGGCGCTCAGCAGGACTGACTAAGAGACACGTGGGCCATCGCCCCAGAGCCAGTGCCTGCACCTGTGAGAGTGGCGGTTTCCAAAAGACGGTCAACAGCGAGGGCAGCACAGGGAGAGGGCTGGCCCAGGGGGGAGATTCTGACACCGCTGGCAGCAGTGGGAATCACTGCAGTCTCTGGGGAAAGTGGTACGAGGTGAGAGAAGGCCCCAAAGTGGGAATCCACAGGGTGGAAGGAGACCTCTCGGGCCAGGAAAATGCTCGTCAACTGTCATTTTTCAGGTTGTTTAGTCCCTGAGCCACCAGCTGCACCATTCACAGTCGTCAACCCAAGTGCCACAGGACCCAGAAAAATGACCATGTCCCTGTGCTCTGTGGACAGAAGTTAGGAACAGGAAGGCAGCATCTGGGGACCCCTCAGTGAGGTGACGCTGCTGAGTGGAGGAGGACAGGAAGTGAGACGCTTTCCTGAGGGAATCGACTCAGCAAACAGCAGCCTGCACTCGAGGGCCCTTGAGGGCTGGTCAGGAGCCCCCGTGGCCAGTATTTAGCCACAGCTGGAGCAGTGAGGCAGCTCCCTAGACCCTAAACGCCCTGGGCCTGGGAGAGTGACTGAAGGTGCAGCCCTGCCCGCCGCCCCCCCCCCACCCTCATCTCACCTGGGGGCGGGTGGGTCGAGGCGTCCAGCAGGTGCTGGATCTGCTGGGTCATCAGCGTGGTGATGGGCGTGAGCAGCTTCTGCTCCAGGGTGGGCAGCTCCCGGAAGGTGCTCAGGGAGAACACGTACTCGGGGCTCAGGGAGATCTTGAGCAGCTCCTCGCAGTCCACGTTCCTGGCCACAGTGACTGAGGCCACGCCTGCCCGCTTGAGCTCGGCGGCCGGCTCGTCCACCTCGTCACTGGACCTCCCCGAGGAGATGAGCACCAGGAACTGGGGGACGCCCTCCTCGATGTGGCTCCCGGCCGACTTGACGAAGAGGTTCCTGGCCACGAACTCCAGCGCCTTGCCGGTGTTGAGGGGGGCGCCGCCCTTGAAGCGCAGGCGGCGGATGGCCTCCAGCATGGGCCCCTGCGCCTTGTGGGTCTTCAGGTAGAACTCGAGGTGCACCTCGTCGCTGAACTGCACTACGCCCACCCTCACCCGGCTGGGCCCGATGCTGAGCTTCCGCACGATCTTGCCCACGAAGTCCCGGATGTGGGCCAGGCCTTCGGGCCTCACGCCGTCCGAGCTGTCGATCAGGAAGACGATGTCGGCCGCGTCGCTGGGCACGTCTGCCGGGGAGAGACACGTCAGCGCGGGTGGCGCGGGTGACTCGGGACGGGAATGCACTTGTCTCTGAGGCGCCCCGGACCCCCTGGAGGAGTCCGGTCCACCCAGGCCTGAGGGCTCCTCTCGTGGGCCTCTCGGTCGCTGAACTGCGCCACGGCCACTCGCGTGCTGCCCGGACGCACGTCCAGCTCCTCGACGACCTTGTAGAGGAAGCCGTGCACGGCGGGGAACTGGCCCACCAGGTTGGCCAAGCCGTCCAGCAGGAACAGGATGTCCTGCTTGCTCTCTGCGAGGGACAGGGCACGTCCAGTGAGGGCCGGAGGGGCGGCGCTGCCGACCGCCCCGGACCCGGCCTGGGACAACCCCGCGGATATGCGCAACCTTCCGCAGACCTGAGGGCTGTGAGTCTGGCAGGACAGCCGGGGACCAGGAGGCCAGGCCCGGGCGGTGCTCAGCGGACAGTGCTCGCCCCATGGCCTGAGACACCAGCAAACCAGCAGCCGGGGCGGCGGCTCAGGGCCTGAGTGTGGCCCCGCCCCACAGTATTGCTGAGCACTGTGGCCAGGAGCAGCCCAGTGAGGCCCCAAGCAGATGAGAACTGGCGGCCTGAGCAGCCAGAGGGCGTGTCCCAGCCCTGGCCACAGACCCCTGCCCACAGGCCGCGCCTCTCCCGCCTGCACGCCGCGCCCCTCCCTGCACCCGGGCTCAGACTTACGCCTCGCCGCACCCCCCTCCCCGATCCAGGGGCGGGCAGAGGGTGGCCGGCTTCCGTCTCCCCAGAGAGCAGCCCTGCCCCTCTCACAGTCCAGGGAAGCCCACCACCCGTGGCCCAACACCCCGCACCCCCGGAGCCTCCTGTGGTTCCAGACCCCCGACTTCCTGTGGCCCCAGAAGCCCCTTCCCCACGCCCACGTCAGTGCCCCCACAGCCCCCGACAGCCCCTCACCTTCCGTGATCCCCGAGAAGGTCCTGAGCGGGGCCACCAGGCGGGGGAGCAGTGCGTGCAGGGGGGCCGTGCGGAACTCGGCCGGCACAAAGACCAGGGAGGCGTTGAAGGCCACCTCCCGCAGCTCAGCCTCCTCGGCCGCCTTGCTGCCCACGGCGAAGGCCATGATGCCAGCGCGACGGAGCCGCTGGGCCGGCCGGCTTACATCATCCAGCGACCGCCCACCTGTGATCAGCACCAGCAGCTTGGGGACGCCCTCGGAGGCCCGGTGGCCGTTGGTGCTGGAGAAGAGGCGGTCGCGGACGAAGTCGAGGGCGGAGCCCGTGTAGCGGGCGGTGCCGTCCATGGGCTTCATCCTGCGCAGGGCGGCCACCACCTCCCTGCGGCCCGGGTGAGTGTTGAAGTAGAACCCGGGCCGGACTGTGTCCGCGTACTGGGCCACGACCACCTGGACGAGGTCCTGGCCGACCTCCAGCGTCTGGATGACCTTGACGAGGAACTCACGGGCAGCGTTGAAGCTGGCCTGGCCCAGCGGTGAGGAGCCGTCCACCAGGAACACGATGTCCCTCTTGTTGACCTCGACGGCTGCGGGTGCAACGGGCGGAGTCAGTGGTGGCCCGACCCGCCCACTGTCCCGCGGCCCCGCCACCTACCACAAGAGCAGGCAATGTGGGCGCAGAGCAGGGGGCTCTGGCCACGGCACACGCGCCCCACAGACTGCAGCCGGCCCACCTCCCGGGTCCCCCTGTGCGACCCTGGCACAGAAATCCATCTCGTCCCCGCCCGTCCCCTAGACCCAGCCGGACTGTGGCCTCCGAATCTCAGTTTGGGTGACGGGTCACGTCTCCCAGCGGCCCTGGCTCTGGCCTAGGGGTCACGAGTCCCTGACACGGCAGGGCTGACCCCACAGCACCCTCTTCCACTGGGACACAGTGACGGGGCCCCTGAATCTCACGAGCAGGAAGCCCGGGTCCAACGGGGGCAGTCGTGCTGGCCCCGTTAGCTCTTGGGGTTGTGGCATCCCAGCACCCTGAGCAGGGCACAGCGGTCAGGCCAGGGCACAGCCTGGGTGGCCGTGAGTCGTGCCTGCTGTCCACTGTCCAAGCACAGGTGACCGCCTGAGTTGGGCATGGGAGCCAGGACTGAGTGCTCCCAAAACAATGCTCTGAGGGCATTGCACATGCAGGCAGGCAGCACTTAGGGGCCGTCAGCAGCAAGGAGCCCTCACGCAGAGCCCGGTGGCATCCACTCACTGCTGCCACCGTCCAGCCTTTAACTAGAGCGGTGGGCTGGGCAGAGGCTCCTGGGCACGAGGCGGGGGTCTCAGGCACCTCCCCCCAGCATGTCCTGTCCCCACACGGGACACACATATGCGGCTGGGCACGAGGGACACGGGACCCCTACGCCTTGCAGGGACGCCCCGCTCACGCTCCCCAACATGGGCAGCCCGGCCACAAGGGACAAGAGTAGAGGACAGAGGCTGGCCGCCACCCCGCCCTGCCTGCAGGGGGCACTCCTGCTTCCCTGCCCGCCGCCACTGGGGTCCTAGGCAGAGTGTGCCCCCCTGCCAGCTGCAAGGTCATCCCAAGGATAAACAAAGGTCCCTGCAGGAGAGGAAGCCCCGGGCAAAGGGAGAAGGGGGGGCAAGGGTCGCGGCCCCTTCCTCATCTGCTTCCTCAACCCGCACACGGCTGAGTGTGAGAATAGGTGAGTGCTGTGTGTGTGTGTGTGTGTGTGTGTGTGTGTGTGAGTGTAGGATACTTGCTTTGTCCTTTCTCCCTTGCCACAGGGAGCTTAGGTTGGTCGGTTTGCACCCATCACAGTGCTCCTGAGTCACTCCCATTCCTTTGTTTGTCTGTAACCATTTCTCTATGCTCTCCTCCCCAACCAGTTAATCAGCTTTTCCCCTAATCAGAATCTGCTAATCTGTAAGGTCAGAGTCTTTTAGGACACTGGACTTGTAAGTTGATATCGCCTTTCTCCTCTCCTTCTATCTTTTGAATAGTTTACTTTAAGGCAATGTCCTTTTTGTAGAGACACAAGAAGATAATTCATATTGTGCTTTTGTAGCTTGGGACTTAATTGGCTTCGAATATTATTCATTCCTGGGCATCTGCTTTCTTAACTTAAGCCTCAGTTGCCCTCACTTCCCAGAATCCCAAGAGCAAGGTCCTGACGAGGGACTGGATGGAACCAGGGCAGGTGGTGAGCTATGTGCTACCCTGGCATCGAGATGGGCCAGGCCAAAGTGCCACGATTTTTAACTAGAAGTTAGGAGTTTGATCATAGACAAATGCTTTCATGATCCAAAAGTAACAGCAAGACTAGGACCCTGCTAGGGATAGGAAAGACTATCTGGCCTGAGCACGGTAGTCTGAGATTGAGATGGCCCTAGGAGAGCAATTCTATAAGCTTAAAGAATTTCTTACTGTGTCCATACAAAATGATTTCTATTATGTATGCTTATATGCTTGTTGGACAAGGAGAGGAGAAGCACGCCCAGGGAATTCCGTTCTAGGGTGGGTTGTTCTGCTAAATGAGTATCTGTCCTAGAAGCGGCTTTCCCGTGTGTCCTGACTAGCTTGGACGAGGCTGAACATTTCCCCCCTTCCAACTGCCTTCAGTAAGTCATTTCAGTACATTGTAAGAGGCAGTTTTCCTTTTCTCACAGAAACCTGGCTGGTCTCAGACATGCAGATCTCAGGTGCTAGCCAGGCCTGATCTTTGGGATGTAGATTCCAGGCTCTAGCAGACTAGTCTTTGGGATGCAAACCCAAATGCGTGTAGCCCAAGAAAGGTTTCAGTCTTGGTTTTGTATCTTCTTTCCAGAGGCCTCCCTGCTCGTGGGGATGCCGAGGCCATCCACTACGGAGACACCACGTCCCCCCACTATGTCCCTGTCTCAGAAGGCCCAAGTCTCCTCCGGGCCCCGGCTGTGCCCCCACCCTGCACACCCCCAGGAAATGCCGGTCAGCTGTCCAGCGGCCACCCAGCCTGTCTCCTGCCCTCGCTGTATGGTGGGCAGTGCCGAGACCTGGCCAGAGGACAGTCACCTCTGTGTGTCTGTGGGCACTCCACGCGGGAAACGGCTGCTGGCCTCAGCGGTTAAGGGACTTGGCAGCCCATGACAACATCGGCCGGAGGGCATGTGGTCAGCCCTGGGCGGCCGCAGGGGGTCCCGGCAACACTGTGAGACCCTTGGAGGGAGAGGCGAGGCCCAGAGCCCCCACGGTTGGCTGCCTGCCTGGGCGAGACCCAGCTCTGCCCACGACTTGGGGCGAAGTCCTACTGAGTCTCAGGCTCCCCGGTGGGGCCAGCAGGGTCTGCCCAGGGGCGCAAACGCTCTCTCCTTCTGGGCGCCATCCGTCTGCTTTCTAAGCATTTTCCTCTCCTGTCATGTTAGGCAGATCACTGTCTGCATGTTTTTGGGGTCACCGTCTATTTGTTTTGGGGGTCACCATCTGCGTGTTTTGGGGGTGCTGCTACCAGCCCCCCTGTATCTCCCATGGGGGCCAGGTTTGCGTGCAGCCTTGCATTGTCCTAAACTTGTTTTTCGTTCTCACTTTTTGGTTTTGGGGCCCCACCTAGCGGTGCTCAAGGGTTACTCCCGGTGAGCTCGGGGGACCCTGTGTGGTGCCAGGATGGAGCCCGGGAGGGCTCCCCACTGCTGTGCCATCTCTCAGGCCCTGACAGTTCTTTTTCTCAGGAAGTGAAAGGTGTGGAGGGAACTGGGGCCCCGGCACGGGGATATCAGAGCTCAGGTCTCGGCAGACGTGCCGGGTCCCTCTCGGAGGGGCAGGGAAGAGCCAAACCTTTGTTTTTAAGCCGGTGACGGCTTCTGTCCGCAGCACAGCAGGACAGCAGGGTGCGGGGGCATTACTTATGAGGTCTCTTGGGACCTCCTGCAGAGCCACCACAGCTCACACCCAGGACACCAAGTCGCCCACCGGCCTGGGGAAGGCCATCAGGTTCTCTAGGCGGGACATGCGCATTCTGAGTGGTGACAGTGCTGACCCGGCCAAGGTGCCCTTGCCGGCATCGGCCGACAGGAGCCCAGCAGAGGGCAGGCCCTGACCGTCGCCCAGAACCAGGATCAGCTGTGGGACCCCGTCGGCGGCCAGGCTCCCGGCCGCCCGCGACAGATGGGCCCGCACCGCGCTCTCCATGCCGTCGGGGGCCGGGCTGCGGCCCCCCGTGTAGGACAGGTTGGAGAGGTGGGACAGGACTTCTTGCGGGGAGCGGTAGGTGTTCAACAGGAACTCGGTTTGGGGGTTGCCGTCGAACTGGACCAGGGCAAAGCGGAAGTCCTGCAGGCCCGCGGCCAAGGCCCGCACCACGTCACAGAGAAACTCGCGGACCAGCTGGAAGTGCTCCTTCCCCACGCTCCAGGCCGGATCCACCAGGAAAACTACATCGGCCGCCGCGCCGCTGCCCGCAGCTTCAAAGAGAGACGAAGGTTTCAGGCTCTCCGGCTCTGGCATCCCCCGCCATGCCCTGGACTTCTCTGGCCCCACCTGCGTCCAGGTGCACGGATGGACTTACCTGGCGGGCAGGAGCATGGCGCGTGGCCCCACCCGGGCATCAGGCGGCTCCCATAGGACCGAGAACTCATTCCCGGAGTCCTTCGACCCAAACATGCCCCTTAGTCACCCTCAGCACACCCAAGCCCACCTGCTCGGACCCAGAGTCCGTCGGTCCGAATCACAGCCGTCAGGTCAGATTCTCATCCTGAGCTTGGGGCTGGGTGGCAGAACTCTGAGGACCCTTGGCCCAAGGCCGGGACAGCCGTGCCCCCAACTCTGGCTGGAGAAGAAGCTCCCCCACGTCCATCTCTCAGAACCAGGGACCCTCTGGGACAGGGCCGGGGATCGAGGTGGACACGCTGTCCCTCAGTGCGCCTGGCCGGGCCCAGGCTGTCTGTCTACTCAGAGACCCCCCAGAAACACACCCCCAGAGGCGAGACCCCCATGCCCCATGTCTGAGAGCTGCAGAGAAGCGTCTGCTCACCGGGCAGGAAGCGGGAGGCAGGTCTTGCTCTGACGTGCAAGGCAGGCTCACTGCCCACGCCTGGCCAGCACCGGCCAGCGGGCCCGCCAGAACCTCCCTGTAGAGCCCAGGGCGGACTCTGTAAAGGTTCATGTTTCTGCAACTCTGTCACCCGGACACGCATCCTCCTGCGCCTGGGCGGTGGGGCGGCCCTGAGCTGGGACCCCCGTTCCGTGGCGCCTGCAGGCCCTGCCCTGCGTCAGGCCGCCAGAGAGCCCTGGGGAGGGTGAAACATTTTCAGCACAAACGTTCCACTCTCGCCACTGTCCAGACAAGGCCCCAAGTCGTGGGGACCAACACGCCTCCCATAGCCGGGGACCGGGCGGGCCAGAGCCCGGCGGCTCCTTCTTACCTGCTGGCCCCTGCTGGGCCCGCGCGGGGGGGACGCCTGTGAGGAGGAGGCAGAACAGGGCCGTGGCTGGCCAGCACCGCTGACACCTCATGGCTGCAGCTCGGAGGGAAGGGACCTGGGGAGAGAAGCAGGCAGAGCCGTCAGCGCTGGGGTGGTCCAACCCCCACTGGGGCCACCGCACCCCCTGCCCCACCCCCGTGCCCGCCCGGGACGGGACTCCAGGGCCCTGAGCCCCTGTTTCCTCCCCAGCAATGTGGGAGCAAAATAAGGAAGAGTCTCTCTCTTGCCAGCCTCAGCCCCAGGAGCTCAGAGCCTCGTGGAAACTGTCAGGAAGAAAATCAAACGAGTGACTCGGAGCCCGCCGTGAGCAGAGGGCGGAGCTGGACTCAGACGGGCTGAGGCCGCGGGGGCAGGAGAGAGCCCGAGAGACGCCCCTGGACGGAAGCCGACGGGGAGATTGCACAGACTCGGAGACAAAAACCGGGAACCCACACAGAAAAGACACGGGTTGGATCGAACCGTCATAGCCATCAAAGGTCCTCACGTAAAGCCTGGACTATAGGCCAAGAATAAAGCCCAAGAGGGCCGCTCGCTGCCACTGGGCTCTGTAGGGACTCCAAAAT